CGGCAACGAGTACATCAAGGGGCTTTCGGGCGGCCAGCGGCGTCGCCTGAGCCTGGCTGTGGCTTTCATGAAAAACCCCCTTGTAGTCTTCCTGGATGAGGTCACCTCTGGCCTGGATGCGGCATCGGCCGCCAGCATCACCAAGTTTCTCCAGGAACTGGCACGCAGTGAAGATGTAATCATTGCCTGCACGATCCACCAGCCTTCCGCACGGATCTTCAAAGGATTCGACAAATTGTTGCTTCTCTCTGGTGGCCGCGTCGCCTATTCAGGGCCGGTGGAGGATGCTGTGGAGTATTTCCAAAAACTCGGCTTTTGGATTCCGGACCACGAAAATCCAGCGGATTTCTTTCTAGACTCTATCAATGCAGATTTCACCTCGCAAGACGCAGTGGAGAAGGTCTTGACAGCCTGGGAGTCGCAACCCTTGCGGGTCGGAAGCGGCTCCTTTGATTTGGATGCTGACATGAAAGCGCACGCAGGCCAGCACTTTCTCGTCGAGGTGGGTTAGTGCTGAGTGCGGTTCGTCGGCTAATTATTGCTCGATCTGTGAAATCATGTCTTCTGACCATGGGTTCGATTGAATGCCTACGCATCGAAGCTTGTCTACCTGAGCAGGTTTGGGTGCTCTTTCGTCGACTGGTGTTGCTGGCGATCCGAGACCCAACAATGTACGTGAGCCGCATGGTGGTCTTCCTTCTCTCGTGCATCTTCTTCTCCATAGTCTACCTCAAGTCCCGCGAGCGCACTCAGACCCAGATCCTTCAGCGCATGTGGCTACTTCTGTGGTCGCATGTTTAAAACTTAGGGGAATGTGGTGGTCGGCTAGTTCTCGATTTTCCTTGTCTTGTCTGCCTTTGTGGGCGATAGTAGAAAGACTGTCGTGTGCCGAAGTCGATGCATGTCTGATTACTCCAGGCACATCGGGGTGCCGGCTTGCATGTCGCTCTCGACCTGCCTCGCACAGAACATGGAGTTTGTGGCAGTGAAGCGCGAGGTCAAGTCAGGCATGTACCGGCTCAGCCCTCCATGCGCAGAGGAAGTTTTTGTTTTCCCGACACCGATCTTAAGTGTCCCCCGCTTCAGAAAGCGGTACTTGTCACTTTTCTTGGTCGATCCCAGGCTCATACCTCATCGCGCAGCACCTGATACAGATCCCAATGGTGGTTGTTCTCAGTGCCACAGCCTTGACGATCAGCGGGTACGGCATGTGCGGCTGGAACTGGGATGCCTACCCGGAGGTTCTGCTTGTGCATCTCGGTAGATTTTGGATGCTGTTGCAAGCCTGCAAGCATGCCTCAAATTCCACTAGACATGTAGAAGGTCAACTGTCCCATAGCTTACCACCCACCCAGAATGCACAGAACCTGCATAGTGGTTCCTTGAGCACCAGGCACTCGTTGCTGCTGTTCTGTTTCGACTGCGCCGCGCAGCTGTTTGCGGTCACCTTTAGTCACCCCCTTCTGGGTCTATTCCAGGCTGGGTCGTGCTCAAGCAATGTGAATTCCGTTTGTGCCTAGCTGCTAGCTGCTGTCCCAGTTGCTACAATGCTAAGGGAATGCTCCCTTCCGACACTTGACTTGTGCAGAGGGCATCATTGCAATGCAAAATATGGCAAATTACCGCTAGGCTGCGCGAGTTGCGGAATGATTTCCGTAGACCTTGATCCCCGGCTGCCTCGTTTTTTCGCAAACAGAGCCCGTTCCCGATCGGGCAGGACTAGAAAGCCCATCGACCCGTCATCGCTACACTCACCCGTGTCCGATGAACATGAAGACGTTAATGTCGCCTGCCGCACCTGGTTCTCCTGCTCTCTATGGAAGAAGCTGCCCACTTCATGCTGCATGTGGATTTGGATGGGAAGTTTTGCGCATCCACTGGGGTTTCATCAAGTGGGCCAGGTGATTTGCCTTTGGTTCGCCAGCTTTCTCTTCGCTGGAGTTCTCGTGTCTCGTCAGTGCGAATGGCATTCAAATCTCTCCTGACTCTACTGTTCGTTCACAGCAACCTAAAGAAGGCCGATGCATTGAATTGCTGCGCACAGTTCCTTACAGGGCAGGAGCGAGGTTTAATGTTTCTGAGGGTTGCATCGAACCTGGGTCCTAGGTGTTTTGTTTTTGTTTTTTCTGTTCAAGCCCAGCTTCGTGGGGATGGAGCTCCAGACCTCCGGTTTGCGCTAAGCCTCTGCGCCCGAGCAGTCCCTGTTCTCTCAGGTGCCCGAAGAGGATGTGGTTTGGCCGCTGCGGGTGTTCGCGATTGCTTCGCCCATGAAGTGGTCCATCAAGGTGCATATGGGGTTATACAGTCAATATTAATACATTGCTGTTGACTTATATAGCTGTTTGCCAGGTGGTTTATGTTTGTGATTCCGGACGCTTCCCCTGAATGCGCGTTGGCAGTTCTTGCGTCATTCAAAAACGCCAGCTTGACGGATTAGCAGACAAACCACTCAAGGTCGACTCGAGCCCTTGCGAACGAGACTCAGTTATCTCAGCTTGAAAAGTTTTTGAGGTGTTCCGGAAATGTGTGGAGGCTCAATCTCGGTTTTTGGCAGTCCTTCCACCTCAATCAGATTCAGGACGGTGCTGATGCTAACAGTATCGTTGGGCCTGTCGAATATCAGTCGAAGTTTACCAAACCGCCCGTAAGGCTGTCTTGTCCGAGCTTCGGAATTCTGGCGACGCTGTAGTCCAGCTTCCAGCTGAAAGAACGTCCTTCACCTAGATCAGTTATCGCCGTCTTCGACATTTTTTCGGATTGCAGTGCGACCTAAAGACCCATCATTCAGTTGTGTGCAGGTCTTCTGGCTGGATGCTTTATAGGTCCTCACCGGCTCCGCACTGTGGACTCGATGCGCTTTTGGTGGGCTGCTCTGCTTTCTCTGGTCTTTCTCGTGTTTGGCAGTTCCTGTCCGGGCCAGTCTGGGGTAGGGAAGCCAACGTGTCCCCCTTCCTCCTCTTCCCAAGGCGAGTGTTCAGGCTGGGCCATGATCCACATCCCTTCAAAGACGTAGAACCCATGTAGGAACGCATCGTTACTGTCGCTTGCAACGTGACTCCTTTTTGGTGTTTGGCTTTCTCTGTCTCTCGCTCTCGCTTGCTCGCGCGCTCTCTCTCTCTCTCTCTCGCTCGCTCTCTCTTTCTCTAATTTTCTCCCCTGTTTCGCAAGCACCACGGCACGGTTCGATCCTATCCTGCTAGCGGGGCATTTTCGCTTTGCCTGCCATGTTAGTGGTTACTGACCCTCACTGCCACCTGCTTCGGCCTTTCTTCACATCAACACGTGAGGATCTTTCGCCGTGGTTTTCATAATTCGTTTGTGCGTCGACGTTGTTCGCTCCTCCAGTAGGCTCCAACTGACAGTTCCGCGAAGGCAGGGCTGCGGCATCCTACGCGAGGTGACGCGTCGCCGTGTGGCCTGCGTACTTCGTACTCTCCGGCTCTGGCCTTCCGACCCGGCGTTCTTCTCAGTGAGGTTCAGCCTTGTTGGTTTCTTTGCGCGAAGATGGCTCCTCCTTTGAGAGCTCAGAGTGCTGGAGTGTGCTCCAGGCCTTTTCTTAGCAGTTTTGGGCGTGATTACCTGCTTGACTTTCCGGGCTGGGCTCAGCTGTCGGTTTTGCGTGGCCCTACACAGGGATCACTTAAAGTAAGCCCTACCTTGTCGGGCAAGATGTCTGTCTCGCATGTCACGCAAAAAACCTTAAAAGCAGTGTTTTCAGCGCTTGCACGCCTACAAGCCTACAAGTGAATGCTAACAGACACATCCCTTCGTCAGTCTTAGGTTGTAGTGCAACCACAGCATCATGTTTTTCACACAGACTTTCACGAGGCGATCGTCAATGCAGAAATGCACGCGACGACATTTGCCGGAGCAGTGTTAGATGACAGCCCTCGTGGCTTTAGTTGTCCCGGCCTCAACGAGCTGGAATGTTGGGGCGTCACCGGCGAGCAAGCTGCTTGACGGCGGTACTCGTACTGCTGTGAGTCGAAATATCAAACATAGTTTGACTAGCGGCTTTGCTGCACCATTGTGAAGCAAGGTTTTGACGTCGATCTCTCAATCCGTCGCGAAGAACATCACGCCAGAGCGAGAACTCGACCGTGATTGCAGCATTTTGGTTGGCATTGCTTCTTGGCAAGGCTTTCGTAAGAGACACTTCTGCCCAGTTTAACGGGTTCTGATATCTTTAGCAATGTCCGGGCATGGCAGGCTATTGTCTTCCGCTTGGCTTACTTCTGTGTGGCTGCTCTCAGATGCCGAACAGGAAAGGCAGTCAAGAAGCCGAAGAACGGCAGCACCTCCACGTCGAAGTTAGCAGCTAAACAGTAGTGGATTCTCAGTCTAGAGCTGTATTCTGCATGCGAGATTGGGTCCTCCAAGAGGACATCTGTCCAATCGCTGCTTCTGTCGAGGGATGTTTTATTTACTGTACCCTGCTAAGCAGCGGTGAAAGCCAACCTCGCCTGAGTCCCGAGCACTCAGCACTTTTTCCCGCCAAGGTAGATGGGCCTTGCGGCGGCTAACTTTAGATCGGTATTTTCGCAAATTGCAACGCAGCAACGTGAGCTTTCTGGTTGCAGGTACACACATGTAAAATGTCTTGAACGTGGGCTGGACCTGCTCCTTTGCAGGATGCCTCTTCTCTATACACCTCTGTCTACGGTTCCGAAACATTGCAACAAGTTCTGCCGCGTGCGTGCAGGTGGCAGGCGTCGGAGCACACGGCAAAAGTGAGCTTTGGGCAGATCACGGAGATGTGCTATCGTGTAGTGTGTCTTCCATCGTGGAACTAAGACATGGAGCGTGATTCATTTCTCTAGAGCTGCTGCATGCCGGGACACCTTACACTGATCGTTTCACTGTGCAGTCCGCATCCGTCAAACTGGAGCGTGAAAGATCGTTTACGCAAAGCCAACTATGGCGACTTGAAAGCTTGAGTATGAGCTGTTCATCATCCCGGCGCAATCTCTGATCCATGGTGAAACAGCATCGATGCCCAGGAAGGAGTCATTCAATGAACTCGAGATTCAAGGCCAGAGTCTTCCGCATCTGATGGGAGCATCCTGCGACATGTGGCATCTCAGCCTGAGCTTCGGATGCGATTTGCCGTTTGCTGTTATTGGCCAGGCTTCAGTCTCGGTGGTGCCGCCCTCATCGCTCCCATCTCAGAGTCCAGACAGGATTCCAATCCCTGAAGTTCTGCAGCGAGTCTCTTCCTTGCGGTGTTGTGGCTGCCAGAAAGCGTTTTTAGTTTGAGGCGGACAGCATTTTCGCAGCCAGGAGCCTCAAGCCAATGAGCTTTTAAGTGCTGCTCAGGTGGACACGATGACGGATAACACCAACCGAACCCGTGAGGGCCTCGAAGGTGTTCAGGGGAGCCATCGCCATTGCTAAAAGCGCTCCGAGGCAGCGAGGTCACGCAATGTTTCAAGGAGGCAAACGGCCAGGCTTCGGCTTTCGAGTCGGGCGCTGGTAGCGGAGGAGGGAACGTCGCTACTGTAGCTTTCCAAAGCTTCGCATGCTGCAGCTGTGACAAGCAAGCCGGTTGGGCATGTGCAAACCAGCAAATCATACATGGTTTGTCATTGGCTGCATTGACCGGCATTCTTAATTCTTGGCCTTTGAGCCAAGAGTGTGCGTGCGACCAAGATTTTAGCCAAGCAAACACACCAGAGACGACATAGTTTTATCGACAGAGCTGTTCCACGAAGCATGCGGCGATGGCATCTCGTCCGGGCAACGCCCAGGCACACCCCAACAGCATAGCTGACACTCCAGTCCAGGGCACGATCCAAGTTTGTCGTGGAAGATTCGCTGCTTGATATCAGTCGTGCGACAAGATATGGCAAGGTTGCTCTGCCGCTGTGTTGCTTCTGCAGCCGCCACGCCGATCGAGACGCTCGCCTGGAGTTGATGGACTGGTGGAGCTTTCTCAGCGAGCGCCGTCATGCATCACCCGAATTTCTGCGAAAACGTACAGTGTTGTGAGAGTTCACAACCAAATCGGAGCGGAACCTTGCATGAGATATCTTGAGACATGTTAAGCCACAGCAATTCTGCAGATGCTGAGGATTCCAGTGCCAAATCTGCGGCCCGCGATTGTGCTTCGGCAGCATTGAAGCTGGCAGAAGCTAGACAGAAGAAATGGCACGGAGAGGAGCGCTACTCCAAGACCAAGCGCACCCTTCTAGCTTCAACGGTGTGTGTCGAGGAGATTTCGAGACATGTTGTTGTGTTTAACAGCATCGCCGGCCTTCCCAACTCCCGAAATTGAATTTTTTTGGCAGGGGGAAGTGCGCTGCCTTTGTGGCCATCCTAAACATTAAGATGGGAGGGACATGGAGGGGTCAGTTCCCTGCAAGCGATGGGTCCCATACACCAAGTCACCCTACTGTAGTAACTTCAGTTTGACGAACCCCCAATGTGTTAACGTGTTGAATGCTGGCAAAGAATGCAAGCCGCGGTGTGCTCGACACGAAGCCTGTGGCTGTCCGAGATTGCCCAAGGCTGCAATACCACGTGATGCTGGGGCAACCTACTTCGGCACTAGCCTGCCGGCGGACAGAGGCCGGTGCTTGAAAGCTTGGTGACAGTGCGCAATTCTCTCGGGGCTCATGTTCTTGCCGGACGTGAACTTGCGTGAGATTATCATTACGGGCATTGGGTACAGGTGGTTGAAGCGTGACTGGTTTGTCGTCTTTCCTTCATGCTGCCGGAAAGGGAGTGGCGAATTGTGAAGCAGTGAGACTGCGGCTCAATCTCCCGCTCTCTTGCAGGCGCGGTCTTGCCCGGGCACGAGGGCCAGTACTACCAGAGAGCCCTCCCTGCGGCACAGGCGCACTCCTTGCACTTGCCTCGGGCGAGTCTGAGTAGTCAGCAACCTTCAGGCTCAGTGTATGCAGCAGTGTCTGTGAAAACTTGCGTGTGTGGTAACGAATTCCATGGAAGTCTTTAATGACGTTAATGCTCCATGACCCTGTCTCCGTCGCGCAATCATATCATGTACCCAGACACGACTGCTTCGAAGTCACAGCCTACCTACGGAAAGAAAACTCTCCAGCAGGTGCCCTTTGCTTCTGAAGAGGGCCGGAGAATGTTTCGCGAAGCGCTGCTGGCACCTCTTCCCAAGGTTTTTAGAGCGTGTTAGAGCAACTAGTATAGCATTCATACCGATGTTCTTTCGGCTGCGGATGTTTCTCACCGCCAATAGGCATGGTTTAGGACCACAGCAGGAAGACTGCGGCGCAGGCTGCAGAAAAGCTTCTGAGGTGGAGGGGAGATATCCTGTAGATGCGAGGTTCGAATTAAAGTTGTCGCATGTTCGGGAGATTTCTGCAACACCTGAAACATGTGATGCGCGACAAGGCTGTTGTCACAGTGATGAAATACATTGAAATACCTTACTCTTCCTAGGCTGGGACGATGGAGAGCTACTTCTTCCTGGCTGAGCAGTTCCGGACGCAAGATGAGCCGACTTTTTGCCCCTCCTTTCAAATCATGCATCGTGTCGTGTGCCATGCGCTGCTAATTTCCCGGTTGCTGCGTTCCCCAAGACATAAATACAGGAAGAGGGGCAACCACAGCCGAAAGTGCACCAAGTTGGCTGCCTGCAGCAGACCCAGGTGGGTTGACCACTCTGGCAATGGTTCTGAACTCCCTGCACATCGACCCCATGCGAACCTGGAAGGGAGCCTGGCGTTGGTTCAACGAGCAAAATCTTGCGCCTTGGCATGGGGTCGCTGGCTTCCAGGGCCGAGGCAGCGCACACCTAGCTCGTATCGATCCTTTGCGGTCCTTTGCCACCTGTCTCGGATGATCGGAGAAGTTAGCCATGGCGTCTTGCAGTTGCACCTTCTTGGTCTCGGGGTCTTCAATTGAGTGCTCACGCAATCGGCCTTCAGAGAAGTGCAGCGGCGTGCTTCGACTGAGGCATGCTGTACAGGACCCGACCCCTGGCTGCCAGCACATCGCTTCGGAAGTGTCTTAATGTGATCTCGTTTCTGTATGCCTGAACTTTCCTGGGTAGTATAAGGACCGTGTTACGATGGCTGAGCATGCTTGCACGGCCAAGGAACGGGTCCGAGCTGAAGGACTGTCATTTGCCACTCGGATGGACGTGTGCCGGAGAACGGTAGGGCCGGTAAGGCAGTGTAGCTGAACCTTGGCACGCCTCCCTGTGTGCACAGACAAGGACATGTTCCGATCTCTCGCTGCCTGCAATGGCGCAGAGGCGGCGCAGATGCGTGTGATGCGTGTTCCGTGTGGGGCGAGGGGCGTCTTTTTTTCTCGGCAGGTCGAGGCTTGCCGTGCGCCCGACGCAGCTGGCGAGGCACGTCACGGTCACGAGACGCCTCGGAGTGCTTTGACCAATGCTTGCAGAAATGCTCGCAGGCTGCAGCCTTTGCTGCGGCATTCCGTGAAGCTGCTCGCAGCGTCAGTCAGAGCTCCGAGCGCCAATGCAGCCCATCTCAAGATATCTGGGCCCTACTGCAGTCCTCCGGCCTTCCTCGTTGGCCGGATTGAGGTCTTCGGGTTTTCTGGATCTTCTTCCATCTGCTGACCCAAGGTCTCGTGGTTTGCTATTCCCGTGAGTTTCTGGGCCAGAGCGGTGCGGGCCACTTCTCTCCGGTGGGTGGTCAGGGCCTCAAAAGTCAAAAGTCAACTGTTCCTGCTTTATGGGTGTGCTAAAGGTACAGTTTCTGAGTATCGACGGTTCCAGCTTTACCGGACTTCGGTGTTCAGCTGTCCGACATTGCTGGACAGTAGAGCCTTTCTGCCAGGTTACCATGAAGACAGCGACTCTGTGCTGGTGATGGATGTTGCCAGATTCAAGCCACTGGGCGCTCCTGCTTGCCCGGTCTAGATGATGTTACCCCAGGTTTGCCCCCAATCCTAGTTTTCATTTTCACCGATGTGAGGTATCCTCCCCACTGGGTGCCGTTGGAGGATTTGGCAAGAAGTATGCTGCAGGTGTGCGACTGTGCAACAGTTTCCGCAGGGCAAAGTGACCTCTGCTGCTCTGTCAGATCGACCACGACACGAACAAGCCACGCGGCTTTCTTCAGCTGCGACTGCCACAGCCACCTGGCCGTGGGGACGTTTCATGGGATTTCATGGGTTACCGTGTGTTTTCCTAAGCTCTTTTTGGCGAGCTCTGGGGGCGAGCCCTGTTTCGTGATGTTGGACGCCTTCGCGGCGCAGGCGAGTTCGGGCAGCTGGTGGTGCCGCTCCGCCGCTGCGTGCTCCTTTTGCAGCTCTGACCAGCACTGGCATGACAGGTCCCATGTGCGATCATGTGCGAACTTGGCCTTGGCTCTGCATCTCAGGTGCCCCCAGCAGCTGGCCGACTTCTCTCCGAGGACACGAGAGTCACATCAGCGCAAGATCTTTGGTCTCAGACCCGGGCAGTGTGCAGCATTTCCAGTGGCCAGGGCTTCGCCAGCAAGCTGGCAGATTTGGACCTGGAGGCAGGGCCTCGTCGCAACGCAGGTTTGGCCACGAGACGCATGCGGAGTTTAGACTGGAAGTTTGAACCCTGTCCCTTTCCTGGGAGGCCTCAGGGTGCCCGCTGCCAGCAGCGGATAATGCCCACGTAGCCTGGGCCTTCAGAGCTTACCGTACAAATCCTTTAATCCGTTGAGTGCTTTCGCAACGCAACTTTCGTCTTGTCGTGCATTCTTCCCGAGTACCAGTTCGATTTGTGTGTGTGTGGTGGCAATCAACACCAGGGCTAGGCACACGTCCATAGGCAGGTGCATACATGTTGCCGCAAGTCCGTTCTCCGTGCGTGTGCATACTGCAGGCAGGCAGGCAGGCAGGCAGGAATGTCGTTGTTTCCTGCTGTGTGTGTCAACTCGTCTACACGAATAATTGATGTTGCTTCGTGCTTCTCTCGCTCTGCCTGTCCCTCTCCCTCTCCCTCTCTTTCTCACTGGGTATGTGCGGGACAGATATGCTGTAGAAACCACTGGCTGCGATGGCCGGTCTTATCAAAGAGGAAACCATGGCCTGAGGTTTCCATGAGGAGGTTCCTCACCACGGTAGCGGCCGTGGAACCCCAGGCGCGCCAGAGTCGATCGACGGAGTGTTGAAATTATGATACGGCCAGATCGGGTCCTCACCACCCGAAGCGTCCATTGCCTTTCTTGTCCGGTTTCTGACGGCTGTGGCTGAGAGGTTTTTGGACAGCTTCTGCAAGTCGGCGATGTGGCGGCAGTTACCGAGGCGGGCTATACCGTGATGAAAAAGTGAAGAGGCTCACAAGCAGCTCCCTCAAGTCCTCGATCAGTAACATCCTTGTATGGGCAGCTTCGGGGTAGTGAGGGCCTCACGAGAGGACTGAGCTCAGCCAGGTCTTCAACCGCTTGGCCTCCTACCAGCCGTTTCGGGAGCTTTGCGAGGCCCTCTCTTTCGTTTGCTCCTTTGGCCTAGCACCGACGCATGTCGGCAACAGCAGGCATACGATGTGGCAACGCGCGATTATTGCCGAGAAGTCGGCGCCAATTTTCCTCCGCTTCGCTACATCAAGGCAGCTCCTGCGCCGTCTCGTCGTGGAGAGACTGATCCGGCATGTTACGCTCAATCGGCGCACGTGGGATCATGCAAACTCTCTGGAGGTGGCTCAGGACATACAGTTTTGAAAAGACTCTCACTCACTCATCCCCGCAAGGCTAAACCCTCGATGTTAGGATCAGAATTCGCCGGGGCAATCCTGCTCTAAATTTCTTCGAAGATGCTCGCAGAGCCCTGCCGAGGGTGTCCATCCTGCTCTCCTGCCTGAGATGTCTGCCAGCAGGTGCCACGCAGCAATGGTCGAAACGGTACAACCCATATCGCCACTCGGAAATTGCATTTTATCATTCGAGATCAGGGCTCGGTCGACACTGTAAATGTTCAACTTGTAGAAGCGCCAGTGGCATTGCGGAAGTGTGTGGAAATCCTGGCGTGCTCCGACTGAGGATGGCAGCGAGGACCTGACGCCCTGGTCCTGTGGCGAGCTTTGGGTGCTGCCGCTCGATCGACCGTTCTGTCTCAGGGCATCTGTTTCGTGGAGGGGTGGCAGCAGTGACATCCATTTTTGCAGCCCAAGTACCAACAGAATTAGGAGGGGAGTTTGCCTGCAAGTCTCCGGTGTCTTTGCCGGTGTGGTCTGCACTTGGTGCACTTGTCCATTTGGCACACAAGCTTGTAGGGCGGGGGATCCTGTGCGCCTTGCGCCTGTCCTGGCCATGCAGTGGTGTGACGGCTTGGGAGAAGTTCTGGTCCAACATGCTCGTAAAAAGCAGCGTGTGTTGAAATGCGCGATGCCAGTGGTTTTCGAGCATGATTTCAGGCCTGTCATGCTCGCAGGGTGCATTTTTAGGGTGCATTTTGGGTTGAGACATGTTGAGCACTCACCTCCTGGGCTCAATATCTGAGGTTGCTGCTCCTCCTGCCCGAACACATGCAGGCATGTGTCTCCTGCCTTTGGGGGTGCGACCCACTTTAAAACTCTCTCTCTCCCTCTCTCTCTCTCTCTCCCTCTCCCTCTCCGTTGTGTCACTGCCATAGGACGACCTTGCTACTAGCACCACCTGCACATGGATTCCGCGCTTAGCTTTTCACGATGTCAGGTGGCAGTGTCCCCCGACATTGTGTACCAGGGCTTTGCAAAGGCAGCCGCGAAGCTTGCCAAGCTTGAACAGCACAGTCTCATCGAATAGGCTGCTGTTCCTGTCTCATATATCCACAGTGCGGAAGATTGCAAGGGCCTGACACGGGCTGTGCGCGGACCATGGGCTTTGCCGCTGGAAGCGCTTCGACGCTGTGCTGCCTTGGACACCTTCTGACTGTCGGTGAAGCTTTGCCAGGCTCAGGTCAGGCATTGGGACATGTGAACGTGATTTGTGCTGGCTGAGGCGAGACCCTGAGTCACATACTGCCGCAGGCCAGGCAGAGACGGTGCGTCAAGAAATTGGACCAGGCTGTCGATGTGTGAGCTTGTGCAGAATCAGTTTTCAGTGCTGCAGAGTCAGTTTTGGCTGTGCCGAAAGCCTTTCGCGACAGCAGTGCTACATGTCGAGTTGTAAAGTTTTGTAAGCTGGCCGGCCCTCACATGAGGCTGATGTTTCACCCCGTAAAAGTTTTAATAAGAATTGTCTGTCGCTGACTGGGCAGGCGTGCATTCCGACTGAAGCATTTCGTGCCTGGATGTTTCCCATGTAAACAAGGCAACGCGAGCGACGAGTGGACTCGTCATATAGACGGTAAATGCTTTTTTCGAGCATGTTCGACTGCTTGTTTGATGACGTGCACCCGGATGCAGATTGAGTGATCGTCTCGGGCTACCCGTCACTCAGAACTCGAAGACCATGAGCAACGAGCATCATTGCTGCTTCAGCCCAGGGTACCCCTGATCGACGCTGGTCTGGTTATAGGCCGAGACCGCACAAGGACATGAAAACAGATCGTGCTTTTTCAGGGCAGCTGAGCCGCACAACAAGCTGCCAGCTTGCTGAAGCTCAACGCATAGATCTGGCCATAGAGTGGTCGCTGATTCTAGTGTGGCCAGAAGGCAAGACGGCATCTGAGTCCCTAGCCGCCCTAGCCCGGCGAACCAGGTTCTCTATGCGCTTGGATGTGCAGCCAGCCTGGCCCTGCAAAGGTGTCAAAGGTGGGCGACCACATTTTCGAGAAAGTGGGTTTCGGACTCAGATCGACGTGGATGCGAGTATGAAAGCATGCGGCTGCGAAAGGCTTCGGTGCCATTGTGGCATCCGCATGTCGAATACTGCTCGTAGTACGGTCTGCCATGTCTACCACGGCCTAGTCTGCTGGCTTGATCGCTACTCTGCTACTCCTTCGGACAATGGTGCGATAGTTGAATCCGTTTGCTGGGAGGTGTGCTGGAGTTTGAAGAATCCGACGAGGAGAAGGTGCTTGAGGAGTTGAGCTCAGTTGGGAAAATGTCCTGGCATGGGCAGAAGCCGAGCCGGAGCCGAGGCCTCGATGGAGGCCGATGCCGAGGTGGAGGTGCCAGCAAAGAGCGTAGCGAAGCGCTTCGCTGCGATGTTCTCCCTTTGTTTTTGTTGCAAGTGCCTCCTTGCCGCCTTCGAAGGACATTGTTACTCGGGAGGATGGCATTGTTGAGGCTGGCAAGCCTGCGCAGTCTGAAGTGGGCTGTCTCAGAATCGTGCGGCACAGAATCATGACGGAGAGCAGCTGTTGCCTTGCTTGCGAGCACCCTTTTGATCTCATGCAACAAGCACTCCTCGATGGCCGTTCTCGTCCTGAGAGGGTTCCGATAACACGCATGTTGCAAATAATGATCCGGCAATGCCCCAGAGATCCGAAGGAAGTGCACGCAGGACGCACCGTGATGCAACAGTATCGCAGTGGCAATCCGAGCTGATGGATGGACACATCGCTGCCCGCCGAGCTGCCAAGTGTCCTGGATGCCGAGGCCATCGGCAGGGAAAATGGTCACCTGCAAACGCGGAGACTTGGACCCCCAACCGCCCTCGAATGACGAGTACCCTTCCAGGCTTGCTGTGGCGCATGTTTGCTGCAGCTCAATGATGCTGCGGTCGACGGAGTGGCGGAGGCGAGCTGGCAGACCTTATTGCGACAACGCCTTGCTGTAGTTGAAGGAGTCAGAACCCGCATGGGAGGCCTCTGCGTCCGTGGCGAGCCGCTGCTCCGAACGCTTGCGGCGAGCAAAGGTAGCGGCGGCCCTCGAGGGTCGGCTGGGACTGCTTTGATTACAGAACAGTGCCAGCATTGGCAGCTAGCTGCATGGAATGCTGAATGCATGGCCTGTCGAGTCATCACGTGGCAGGCTGCCTGCATCTCTTCCACTTGCGGTGCATCCAAGTTTGGGCTGGAGTGGAGAACTCTTGTCCACAGTGCCGCTTACGGTTCCGCCGCTTCGGCGAGTACAGCCTTGTGTCCGGTCAGCGCAGGATCGGCGGCGTCACACACTATTTCACCGTCAGTCCGTCTTAATGTTGCCCTTAGCCATGTCCCTGCTGGAGAGGAGAATATGTGAAGTGCAGCACCGCGATCAGGTCCGTCGGGCTACGGGGCTCCACTGCTGAGAACTGCTTCGGGAGGATCAACATACTTCATCGTACTTAAGGGCATAAGGCAGCATGAGCATCTCCATCTACTTCGTTCCCTCCCTGTAGGTCGGCGACTCCAGTGGTGAGTCTGAGATCACGTGCGATGTGTGCGGTGGAGCAGGTCAGGCAGAACTGTTGCTTCTCTGTGACGGATGGCGAGGGCGATGCCCTGGCGCATGCCATACCTTTTGCGATGGCTTGGGCCGGACAGTTCCCAGTGGACGATGGTTCTGCCCGGCATGTCGCAGCCGCCAGCACGCTGGCACTCCCCGAGCCGCCCCGAAGGAGCGCCCAGGGCAAGGTAAGGGACGTGGAAAGTCGAGACATGCGCGGCAAGCTGAGGCCTTGCTTAGCGCACAGGTCCAGCAGGCAATGTCCTCGGCCGACTCCAGAACCGGTGTGACGGCAGTTGTCGCAGAATCGGAGAGCTCCGAAGCTCGGCCAACGAAGCGGCCGCAGGCTTCGCCAATGCAGGTTGACCTGAAAAGAGATCCCAACGAAGCCATCAGCACGCAGTCGATCAAGCTCGAAGTTAATGCAACTCGACAAGCAGTTGGCCAGCATGTCCAGTTTTGTCTCGTGGCAACTTCCGCACTGTAGCGTACCATGCCAGGATTGAGTTGATGCATGATGGCCTCTTATGTGCCTCTCTTTGAAGGCCCCCCTCGCAGCCGCGCCAGAGAGAGTTCCTTCAAGACATCGTGCAGAGCCGGAGCTTTTGGAGCTTGGCGGTTTCCTCCCGGCAGACACACCGCCACCGCACGCCTTCGCCAAGCTGAATCCGAGCCACGCGGCCATCGACCTGGACAGTGATGAGGCCCCGGAAGCACCGCCCCCACCTCGCCGTGACTCAACGTTGAAGTGTTTTGCAGCACTTCCTGCTCTTTCCGTTCCATGATGTGTTCATCGTGCTGAAGGAAACGGATTTCGTCTCCATTACCTGAGACCCAGGTCAATACAGCATCCTCCAGCTCCCCTCGGAATTTGAGGCCTGGGCGGAACAACTGCGCAAATTTGTGCCTCGGCTCTCCGGCAGCTCATTTTTGCCACTAGCACCTTGCTGGAGTAAGGCCTCAACGTATTTCCTGTGCGAGCGGAGCATGCCCCTGGCAGCTCGCACTGCGGAACGCATGTGGCAGCTTTCGCAGGCGTTCTTTTCTTATTTTCGGCAGCTTGCAATTTCTTTGAGGTTGCGCTAGGCCTTGCCACCTCTGCGCATGTTTCAGTCACATGTGGAATGCAAACGGCAGTTGTCCATGCCAGCCGCACTCTGCATCTGCTTTCGCAGCATTTTGCCTTGTTGAGAGAGGGGTTCCTTTGGACTACTGACATCCGCCGTGTTTATGTCGGCCAGAAGCTTTGATGGCGAGCTTGAACGTAGTCTCACTGGACTTCCCCAGTCAGGAGCTCCCCACATCTGACTCCCCCCTCATCCAGCAGGGCTTGCGCCTACGCGAAGGGAAGACTCCTCGGAGGTCCTCAGGGAGCCTTCCCTTGCCGTAGGCGCAGGCCTTGCTGGACTGGGGAGGATAGCCCATCCTCCGCCACGGCAGCAGGGATGAAGACTCCATCTAGCGTTTTTGCTGAGAGGAGACTTCACTTGCTAAGTGGTGCAAGTTAAGAAGTAGCGTTTTGTCAACCCGCGACACGGCCACTGGACAAGCTTTGCCACAGCGGCTAGTGAAGCACAAGCTGCAACTCTTCACAGCAGATCAAGCTCGCTTGGCACATGCGCCCTGTGTCATCCTCGCGCACCAGCCGAATCAGGCGCGCAGGTTAGAGGCCTTCCTCCATGGCTGGATGAGGCATTACGAGCACCAGCTCTGCATGGACAAGTGCGGATCCGAAGAGTTGTACGACTTGAAGGTGGTCCCTCGGTTCATGCAGCAGATGCTCTTGCGCTGCCAGATCACTGGCCGACAGCTGGACCAGAGGCTCAGCAGAAGCCCGAACGAGAGCGTCAATCCGCCGGCGTGGCTGAGTGATGCTGAGTGACAATCTGTGTGATCAGAACAGCAGTCTGGATCTCTGAGAAGCTGATGCATGAAGTGTCCTAGCACACGTCACGAATGCCGCCTGTGGGACGCCAGACTCCTGAGGGCCCACCCGTGTACAGTTGCAACACGCCTGCGGCCTTGGCATCCTTGGCCTCGCCTTGAGGCGACGGGGGCCTCTGGGAGCCTTCGCTTTTTGCTCTGCCAAGAGGGCATGCGACGACAAGCCTGCCAGCCTAAACCTAAGTGCTTTATTCCATTATACAAAATGTCCTATTGCATGCACTCCATTGTGCACGGAAGTCAGGATTACAGCAGATCGTGCAGCATGCCAGGTAGGGGACTGCCAACGTGGGCTGGCAGATGACATCGAGACTCGATACCGCCAGCTACTCCATGTTGCAAGGGACAGCTACTGGGCTATTTGTACAAGCTTGGGCCTTTCGCTCCACATTTTGACGGATTCCATTTTCAGCTGGTCCATGCATTCTCCCACCAAAAACTTGTCATATGCCTTGCTTGAACGCTGTTAGCTGCTAGGTGATAGCACATAGCAAAGGTGTTTACCTCTGCCAGCGTATTTTTATAATTCTGTCACAGACCGACAGCAGCTTCAAATGCCGCAGTTCTTTCTTCAGCATCTTCAAACGCTTGACTGCCGATTGTGGAATCGAAATTGTTCCGAGCTTCCGTTTACAATGCAGGCGCGTGCTTTCCCTGCACAATGGACCTGCGCAAGCATCCTTTCCATGTTGTTGTGTATCTTCCGCGCATCGCGTCAACTTCGTGGTATATGCAGCAGAGTAGTGCCACCTGAGGCTTCGAACTGTTCTGGCAATCTGCGTTGGATCCAGCTGACGATGACCCTTGTGGGCTGCGGTGCCTGCGGAAGAAGGATGGGAACATCGTGGTGTCGAAGCTTTGCTCCCCTACTTGGGGAGTGCTGAGGTCGCGACTCACGCATTCTTGATGGATGTTCCATGGAACGTTTGGCGTTCTGATTTTGCTTAGGAAAGCGGTTTTCTCCGCAGTGTGCTTGGAGTCTCATGCGCAGGAGCAGCCTCTCCTGTGTGTGCGCTACAAAGGCGCCCTTGGCTTGTTATGCGGAGCCCCAAGCAGTCTTGTTGGACTCTTTCCGAAGGCAGGCGAGGGAAGCGCGGCCGCATTCGACCCTCAGACATTGTCCGCTGTGAGCTCCAGTGCCGCCGCAGGCTTGGTGACTGCTACATGAGTGTATAATAGTGTATATACATGGTCCATGACGTGCTATGTTATTCTGTTACGACAAGCATAAGATGGTCAACAAATTCAATCAAATCCGTGAGTTCGAACTGAAAGCTCGTTGCTTCTGGTCATGATGAGGGCATGTACCACAGTAGACCAAACATAGACCTTTGCCGAGCCCGTTCTTTTGGAAGGCTACTGGAACTTTTGGATGGCGGCTGTGGCCCTGGATCAAGGCTACCACTTTGCGAACTGCCTCCCAGGCAGGAAGATGCCAAACAGCAATGGCAAAAACACTCGCACCCAGTCGCTGAGTGTTCCAGCGGGCGTCGAGCTTTGCCAGCATCCAAGGAAGTCCAAAATCTTCCCCGAGCGGCGCAACTGCAAGGTTCGGGGCAACGTCCAAACCTGAAGATGGAACTCCCTTTTCTGCACAGAGGCGACAACATACCACCTGCTCGCGCGGCCGTTGCTGTGGACAGACTCCCAGGCACTGCGAAGCCACAGCTGGACGGCATGAATCTTCTCGAGAGCCTCAAGGCGGAGCCCTGGTATGTGGGCCAGGCAGTGCATGTGGCACAAGTGGGATCGCGAGCCGCGAGTTTCGCCTACCCAAAGGCGCAGCTGCATCCTCTTTTGAAGGAGGTGCTGCGCGGAGTCTTGCCGGATGCGGCCTCTGATGGCTTGAAGCTGTACAGCCATCAGGCAGATGCCATTGATGCCATCATGATCCAGAACAAAGATGTGGTGATCAGCACGTCTACCGGGAGCGGAAAATCTTTGGTGTACGTGGTGGCCATTTTTGAAGCCCT